GGGGATTAACTCCTCTGCCATGGCAGATCCATTGACAGCACTTTAGTCACATTTAAAGGGACATTGTCTCCCTTCTGCCACACTTATGAGGAGGAATACGGCTTTCTGCAAGAGACACACTATCTGTACTCATGGCATGCTTGGAGCTTCCAAGCCCTTGCACGGAGCTCTGCAGGGAGCTCTTCTTTCTGCTCAAGTTATGCATGATGCACTTAGCTATACATTTGGATTGTGCAGTCTTTACCTTGTGGACTGTATCTGGGCCATACTTACAGTTGTTCATATATTCTTTTTGTGTTGCGGTCACCTCAGAGCTGTCCTTACTGTCTGTCCCCAGAGCTGGATGTCATGTCTGCTCTGTCAGGTATTGCTAATTGTTCAGAACTCAGCAATGGAAGAGGTGGGCAGCTCTCTGTCTTCTGTCTGCCTGCAAACATTGCATAGGTTGGTATTCACTTCCATATTACCTTACGGATTGCTTCTGGGAGGGATAGAGATTGTCATCAAGAAGCACTGAAAGCTTGAGGGGTGAAGTAACAACTACAGAAAATCTCATTTTCCAGATCTCTGTAAGTGGACAAAGCCACCAGCAGCCTGGTGAATTTTGCACATTCGGATAAAATAGCCAGTCTGAGAGCTGGTTCTGATTCTGAGTTTGCAAACACAAGCTGATGTAGTGTAGGACTCAGTCTCCCCACTGTGACAGTTTGCATCTGAGTGAGGTTCCCATATTTGTGAGAAGAGTGGTAGTGGTTTGAGTTACCTTCAGACAAATGCCTAAGTTTAGTGAAAACCTGACTGCACCAGGTCCATTCTTGGGTGCATTGTATCCACTTCTTGCCTGCTCCCATCAAGATGGATAGGGATTCCTCCTCAGTTTTCACTTTCTGCCAGAAAATGGATGCTTTGTGATTTACTAAGGTGATTGCTTTTCTAGTGGCTGAATCAATGAGAACTGGGAGGTCTATTAGAAAGTTTTTCTGTTTTTTTACTGCCTAGATCTATGAGCCAGCTGAGAGTTACTGCAAAACTCCTTAGCAGCGTTTGCTGTGCTTTGTATGGACAGGGAGGATATAGCTTCAGCAGGAGGGTGGTCCATTCTTACTTTTGAAAACAAGGAAATCCCTCATACCCCACTAAACTGACTTGTTTTCTGTGTCTATCTTTGAATTGTAGTGTCTTTCACTGCAGCCAAAGCCTTCAGGCACTATCTAGCCCTGGCAATGTGTTGTGCCAACATGTTAGCACTGCTTCTACCCCTCCCTACTGGCACAAGACCAGAGCATGTGGCTCTGCAAGGACTAAGTGACCCAGGGCTAGGTGGGATAGGGTAACTTGGGAAGATGGAGCAGGTGCCCCCGTGCCTTGCTCTCAGAGTAGACAGATGATGGTGATTATTATTAAGAGCTCTTATAATGATCTCAGGGGGGGCAAGTGGAGGATAGAGACATATTTTGTCATGGCAATGGGAAATGTAATTAGAGTCCACATGTTAATTAAGAGCTGAAGGGGAGAAATAGATAGATTTCTTCCTGAAGTCACATTGGCAGTTGGGCACTCTGCATAATGCTAATCAACAAGGAAGACGGGCTTTGGAGGAGAGGCATGCAAGAGGGAAGTTTGTGCAGAGGCTCCCATGGCTTTGAATAGAGCACAAAGTGTCAAGGAAAGTTCCCAAGGCTGGGAAAAAGAAGAATAGTATCCACAACACATTTGGTTTCTTGGTGTAAACTGGCAGTGTCAAGAACAGGTAGTCCAGGTCTGATCACCCATGTGTGTTTCTCTCTGGCCTGCCTAGGCACTCCCTCAGACAAGAACTGGATGTGAGAGCGTTCTTGAACTCCTGCTGCCCCATCAGTAGTGGGCATTCTAGCCAAGAACAAATCTAGTGCAGCTCCTGGGACAGCAAGTGAGGATATCCCACTGCTCCGTGCAGATCAGGGCAGCTGAAACCTACTCACCTGCCCTTCTGGAAACATGTGAGATGGCTAATGAGGTGCAGATCCCTGGTGGTTTTGCATGCTTTAATATGGAATTTTATGCTTGCTTTTCTCTTACTGGTCAGAAACCTATGAAATTACAGCTCTGCTTCTCTGAACAGGGCAGGTATGGTGGGAGGACCTCCCATGTTTGGGTCTTGCCACATGGGAGAGGACTGCAGAAATGCATATGGAAATACGTTCCCTCTTTGTGGCTTGGCACTGATGTATTTAACAGGGGGATCCTCTGCTCCTTCAACTGTCCCAGAACCCTATTACCACAGTCTGTGGAAAGGGGCTGACTGCTACACATGCCTTGTGGGAAGCCCAGGCACTGTACAGGAGGTGGGGTGGGAATGAGTAGAGGGGCTGTGAGTGTAGGTGAGTGTGATGCACCTGCTTACAAGAGGATACTGCAGAATTTGGATGCACCTGTGAGGAAAAAAGGTAGTGGTCTGTGTGTGTATGATGCTATTTAAGAGCGAAGAGAATAATTCTGCTTTTCTGCAGAAGTGAGAAGAAGGTTGTCTGCACACAGAACTTAAATGTTCAAAATGTAATTTGCAATGTGCTGGGGACTCACAAGGGTCAGGAGGAGCAAGTATGCAAGCCTCTAACTCATACATGTCCTAGAGTCAGGAAGGAGTAATCTAAAAGCATCTTAATGAGGGAGGCAGCACTCGCAAGAATGCTGCAGCCCAGCTCCTGCTGCCTAGCTTTGCTACCAGTGTGGATATTTCCCTGCAAAGACCAAAAGGCCTCGTGCTGTCAGATTATGCCTGAGGACTTGTGCACAACACTGATGCCATCCAAAGTTAGGTGGAGCGCTCCCTTTGCACCCATGGGTTTGTTGGTCAAGAGCAGCAGCACCCCTCTATTCAAGCAGAGCATGGCATCAGGCAGAATCAGGGCAAAATTTGACAAAGTGCTAAGCATGATGAATTTGATTAGTAAAATTGCCCATACCTCTGCTAGTGGATGAACACCCTGCTGGAGCAGCACATGTAAATACATAGTGTCATTGCACAGTAGCTGGGACAAAGAAATCAAAGTGAGGCAAGGAAATCTGGAAGATAGAAGGTCGCTGTTGAAGTTGGAGTTTGGACAGAACACTGAGTTGAGCAGTGAGACTCCTGGAAAATGTTGAGGGTTTTGTAATTGCTTGTTTGAGAATGGTGCTTGAAGTATTGCAGTTCCTTCCAGGTGGCTGGCTGGGTGGAATGTTTCCCAGCTATCGGATGGCCAGCAGTGTTTGTAGTTTGCTCCCTGATCTAGAAGTAAAACTGGGGAATGTCTCACTCTGTCTGCTGGGCTATACTGCATCCTTGTTCTTCCTTTTCACTCTTGTGCCCTCTCTTTTGTTTTTCATTTCCTCTTGGCATCTTGGGGCTTAAAGCATTTCCAAGAAGAATTGACGTTAGGACAGCAGCCGCTGAGGAAGCTTGCCAAATGCTCTACATTGGCTGACAGCTCTTCTCAAAACCAGATGGTTACTAATTAAAGGGAGTCAAGTGGGAAGGCTGCCTTGGCCTTTCTGTTTCTTTTTCCTTCCTTTGACTAACAGAGTTTGTGACCTTGGAGGAAGATTGTATTCCTGTCTGTAGTGGGAAGTCCTCTCCTAGTGCTTGTAATCTGTGGTGATCCCAGTGCTCTCTGCTGGGTGCAGGATCTTTCTGAGGAAGCAGGCTGTCTGTGTGCTCTAAGCACAAGGTAGCTGCCATGGGTGGTAGGAGAGAAATGCAGTTGTAAAAAGAAAACACAAACTGGGAGAGGAAAGTTAAATATTGGGAAGAGCTCTTCTTGGAGATCTTCTATGGGACTTTTACTTGAAGCCTTATATTGTCAATAGAAGAAAGACTGGTATCCTCCTCAGGGAACTTCTTGTTCCTCAGCCTGATGCACCTTTCACACAGAGGAGTCCTTTACGTGGCCAATCTTAGGCCATCTATGTGCATGTGGGCTGCTCCGTGTGGCTTTTCTCCATGGAACTGGGAACTAAATGGCTAGGAAGATGAAGGGCAAGCACATGCTTCTTTTATTTTCAAGAACATTTGGTGTCTAGAGCCAATCTTAACAGATGCACTGTCAACGCTTAACGATTCTACCTTGTGTGGAAAAACTGGGTATGAAGAAAACTGCACTGGCAGTAACAAACACCTCCCACTCCAATTCATGTCCAAGAAAAGTGTAGCAGTTTTGATTATATTCCAGAGCCGTAGTCCTCCACAGGTTCCCTTGCTGAAATCTTGCTCCTCCCCTCTGCCACTGTCCTTTTCTCCTTCAAATGCAACCTCTTGTTCAATTTAAGTAAATGTGCTGTACTGGAAAACATCATGGCACAATTACTTAAGGAGCAAAGAAGTGAACAAATGACAATTCATTAAAATATGTCATTGTAATTGTTTGCAGCGTTCTGTGCATGCTCTTAATCTGTGAGGCCCAAAGCACAAATTTTCTGAACAAAAAAAAGACAGCAAGAAGGTGACAGTTGAGAGCCTAGAGCAGCATCTCCTGCCTGCCTCACAACCACACAGCAGTCACTGCACCAGTTTTCCCACAAAAACAGGCAGGAAGCCTTTCAGTGTGTTGATTTAACACAGCCTGTTTTTTTGGGAGGGGAACCACAGGGGTGGTTTCTATGAGAAGCTGCTAGAAGCTTCCACCATATGTGACAAAGCCAATCTCAGATGGCTCGGGAACAATCTTTCCAGCCTGAGAAAGGACTTCAGCATTTGGGATACTCTCTAGACCCATCTCTCCTGCACTGCTTAGGCTGCTTGCTGCAAACTATCTGCCAGTGCTTTTCAGCCTGGAAAGGGTTAAATCGAAAAAGTACCTCCCGGGGTTTTGCTACTTCTTTTCATCTCTGTTTTATTTCCTCAAAGACAGAGAT